TAAAGAATCGTTACCGTAGTAGGCCTCTGAGTTATCCATGCGAGATAGGTCTGGTGTGGCATGATGAGTTGCACCGGTATCTGGTTTCCAAGTAGGACCAGAAGATGAGCCAACCGCTGAATGTGATGTAAAATTGGCCTGTGGAGCAGGATGAGAGTGGTTCGGCTGAGTTGGGCACTGAGACGGTAGATGACCTATGCCACACCTGTTGCAATGGCCATAGACTGTGTTGTGGGTTGAAGCCCAAGAAAACTGTCGGGAGCCGGTGCTATCCCGAGGGCGATTATTGAAACCACTACGTAAGTTGCCACGAGAAGAACCACGAGATCCTCGACCACCTTGGTTATTGTTGAAAGACCGAGAATCATAATGTGCTTGAGCCTGTGGGGTGGGAAGGGGGTTTAATTGATAACCAAGTTGAGAAGCCACAAGTTGAATGCTTTGGAGTTGTTGTTGAAGTTGATCGAGATGCGGTTGTTGAACCGAAGATGCAGTAGCCGTTAGTGGCTGGGGTATTGGAGCAGTGTTGGCCAGGAAAACTTGTGAAGTTAAGTTCTTTGTAAAAACATAGTCATGATCACACAAAAGACCATGCAGTTCATTGAAACGAACAGGAGGTAAACGGGTCAGTAAATTGCCTTTAATGACATTGTATTCCTCTCGAAGCCCTGCGATAGTTAGCATTACTAGGTCTTTGTCCTTCATTGGTTCTCCAATGTTTGCTAGAGCARTGGCATATTCGTGAACCCTGCTTAGGTAATCAGCCGGTTTTTCATCACCGTTCATGGTGATTCTAAGCAATTGAGTTTTGAGAGTAAATTYATGAGAGGCTGTAACAGGGGCATAAGCTCTTTCAAGAGATAACCATACCTCACGTGATGYTTTTCCCTGAATGTGTTGATAAGAATCTTCAGACACAGTAGAGATGATAAGCATCCGAATGTGGGCATCGTTTGAGATCCACGGAATGTAGCTTGGATTGTCGGTGGTTGCTGATTCGTTGGTGACTTTCTGATCAAGGCACGGTACTGTTCCATCAACATAACCAAAGAGATTATGAGATGTGAGAAAAGCTTCAATCATAGAACGCCAATAGCCATAGTTGGTAGGTTTGAGAGAGGAGAATTTGTGTGAATTGTGAATGGTTTTCTCTTGATGTGAAAAGGTGATTATAGCTGCCATGAATTCTGAGTTGATTTGTCTTTAACGTCGTCAGAATGTTGATGAATTGAAAAGCGCCGATTGTAGGGTTAGGGTTAAAGGGCGTCGGCCGGCAGATTAGGGTTGAAGGGGGGGCAGCAACAGATTAGGGTTGAAGGGGGCGGCAGCAGCAGATTAGGGTTGAAGGGGGCAGCAGCAGCAGATTAGGGTTGAAGGGGGCGGCATCAACAGATTAGGGTTGAATGGCGCCGATTTTAGGGTTAGGGAGAAGGATCGATTTTAGGGTTAGGGTTAAGGTTAGGGTTAGGCTCTGATACCATATAAAACTTGATATTGATTGTATTGATTGAAAAATAATAATAATCTGATACACTTTATATAGGTAAAACTAATTACACTTTGGACCCTAGACAATATTAAAAATATAAACTAGACTAGTTGACTTAGTCTAACATTTATTGGTTTCAATTGTAACCCTTACCAGTAATAAGTACATGTAAAAGAAAAGCCAAGGCAAGCAAACAAATCACACTTTTGCTTCATCAGTTTGTCCAAGTCTTCACTTTACTCGAGAAGTTGATCGTTTACCGACTTCGTGACGATGGTATTGTTTCTATCAATCTTAATTGGATGAAAGATGAATAAACAAGTTCACTTGTCGTTTTGTTTAGTTTTTGTTTTTTGTTTACTTCAGATTTGAAAGAAAAGGAGTGTGATCATAACTACTACGCTGTTATCCCTAAGTTTGAATTATTCATCCATCCAGCAAGTATGCTGTTTAACTGACATCAAAAGCTAAACTACAAATTGGGAAATATGATAGTCAAATGTGTCAAAGACAATGCTTTTGATCATTAAAGGCAATCAGATTTTGTGCAACAAATCCAGTCAGCAGAATATATTTGGTAATATTTGTAAATATTTTGTTTTCCTAAGTTAGGATATATGAAGTTCTATAGACCAAAAAACTGTTTTTCCGGGCTAATGATAAGCTTGTGTTCGGAGTATACAATAAGAATTTAAATGAAAGAGAGCGACACTTTTTCCTCAATTAAAACGCTTTTTGCGAGTATCTTGAATGATATGGATAATGGAACCTTTAGTACACTATCGGCATTGATTCTATAAGATGTCCTTCAGAGTTGTCTAGAATATACCCACGATTCTTATTTTACACACCCATTCCCACCTCAGCTTTAGCATTTCAAACAGGCTCATCTCCAACACTGTTAAACATGTCAATCATAATTAAGCACCATCCTTATTGTCTTATTAACCAACACAAGAGTTTTTACAATCCGAAAGCAGTTAATTTATCTCCCAACAGCTGAACTTAATTCCATATTAAGTGATCAATCAACTTAACACTGAACATACTTGTCCCAACCAAACTCATTTTGAAAGAAAAACAATCAACACTGTCCATCCACCTAGCTCGTAAGTAATACCTGGCTTGCAAAATCTATCAAAGAAACAGTAAACCTTTTCACCATATAAAGAATTGTTAGCAAGTGTTATCATATTAGCTTAAAACGGCTTCCCGAGGCATTTACCAAGCATTAGAGTAGATTGTGACCTAATAGCCCAAGCCCAACTGTAACTGAAAGAAAGCAATCATGTAGTTCCCGGAATATTATTCCCTCAGTTCAGATGTGAAACCCAAACGATAGTATACAAACTACGACTTTCATAAGATAGATAGTTTCACACAAAGCATGATGATCTTGACAACGGATAATGAAGATGTTAAGTGTCAACCAAAACAGAAAAGGTTGGGTGCAAAAACATGCATGATTGGATAATCCAAATGAGTATAATATCTTGACTTCTATAGTGAGACGGACTAGCAACAAAATATCAAGTCACAGTTAGAACAATGCTAAAATGATTATTATCAAAATGTTTGATGTGGATTTTGGCCATATACTTTGAGCTGACAATTAAAGAGTTCAACCTGCAAATTAATATCCGATAAAGGTGGGGAGATGATGGCATCTTGCATAGCAGCCTTGAAATCTTTAAATGTCCATGCTGGTGCAACATTGACCTTCGAAGAGATATATAAGAAGTAAAATGTAAATCATAATCAAGCAATAATATAATTGGTTAAGATGGTAGATCTACATCAAACCGACAACAAACTGAAATCATAACTAAAACCTACCTTCTTTGCCTTCATGGCATTTTTGACACGCGTTTTGTCATCACGGTACTGTCAAATAATTGGAAAAAGATATTTAGATCTCAATAAACCATTATGACTTGAGGTCTTAAGATCATTTGAAATCAGAGTTAAAAACACATGCAACAGCCAAAATTCATTAGACGACTCGTAACACTGCTGAACTAGGCAAGCTGTAAATCAACAAATCCATCTGTCTCCATCATTTTGACTGTTGATTTTCACTTTAATTACTAAATAAGCTCTATTACCCTGCCATTTGTTGGCGTAGTCAAAAAATCACTATGAATAACATATAGCAACCTAAGATCTGATAACTTTTTATAGGAAGGAAAGAACATTAACATAATAGGAGAATAACAGACATCCATCCAGGAAACACATTGGATTTATATATTCAGTAAACTTGGATGTTTTGTAAGAGATCACAGAGGATTAGCTCCCTGGTCCATAAGTCTTCCCGTGGAGGTTCATTGGAGATCCTAGCCTTAGTTAGAGCCACCAATTTGTTGGGAACCATCTTATAGAATAAAATAACATATATAATAAAAGACCTGATACAAATAAAAAACCAAGGATCAGGTGAAACAGCAGTACCCAAAATATGGACCGATTGTAATTGGATATAAATCAAGTACAAAAGACTAATGTGTCATCAAATTAATTCCCCAGCTTCTACCTTGAAAAAATGCAGTGCATAAAGGGACTAGATATTTCCAAATTGAAAATATAGAAATGCAAATACGTTATTATTCTCGTAACTGACTGCAGATTACTCAGATGCAAACCAATTTACTTACTCATGATAAAAACACGAAAGCTTTCGCCCAAGAATGGCCTCTCTTCAAAATGCATGTGATATTTAGAAAGGACCAGTCAGTAAACTCAATTACCTCACAGTCACACAACTGAATATTGCTTATTCCCTTAGTGTGGTTAGTCAATTTATGCCAACTCCTTATACAGGAAATTGGAATGCCATCCTTTGCATGTTGAGGAATCTCAAAAGGGTCTCCGAGTAAGGGGATCTTGTATTCTGATCAGGAAGAATATAGATTTGAAGCTTGCAATAAAGAGGAACCTGAAATATTGTCAGACTTTTGTAATGCTGTTTGGGCAGGTTGTCCCATCAGACCATCACTAGAGGCTCGTCTTTGTTGGTGGAATTTGGTATCCTGGAAGAGTAAGATGGAACCCAAGATATGTCGGTCCAGTGTTGACTCGGGGTACTGTGCCACGGCATATGTTATATGTAAAAATGAAGGGGACTAGACATCTACCATGTATTCTATATAACGAGTCTGTCCTCAGTGATTACACATCACATTAAAGCCCTAATTCTTCCAAATAGAACATACAATCAACCATGCAAAATTGCAATGAGTACCTTCTTTTCCAATTCTTCAGTAACATCCTCAAATAAATCTTTTGCTGTTGCACCACACGTATTTGAAGCAACAGCTTGATAAGCTACAGACTCCTTGACCTGCAAAATTTAGAGACAAACTACATAAAAAACTAATACATGATATAAATAACATGACACATTAAGGGTCCTTGGCTTTGCGAGGGGCTTAAAGAAAAGTTCTTGAATGTTGGAAGCCTTTTCCTTGCATTTTGTAAAGAGGGTCCATGACTCGAAAGGACTTCCTGTCACAAAGGAGTGCCCTCGTTGCTCCATGACCCACCCCCTAAACATGAAATGAGAACTTTTTCTAGACAAGATATTTCAGAATTGTGATTTATACTACCTTCTGAAAATAGTCACGCCATTGGGTACTAGCTGTAAGAATACCAGACACCACATGTTCTTCCATCATCTTGCGAAATTCATCACGGTTTTTACGCTCCACCGTTTTTATTTGTTCCTACAGAATTTGAATAACAGCAAAAACTTAAGACGGCTGAAACATAACTGAAGGTCTATACTTTACAACAAAAGATAGCTTTAAATGTCACCTTTTTTAATTTCCTCTGTTCCTCTTCTTCCTTCCCCAGGTCACGGATATATTCCTGTAAGCATAAACATTATTAGTTTCCTAGTGGTAACGAGAATCAATATAGGTGCAGAAATTCACCTGGAAAATCTCCAAGCGATCGATTTTTTCAAGCCGTGAACATCTTTCATCATCTTCCAACCGATCCTTAACTTTCCGCCATTGAGTGTTCACCTGGATTTCAAATAAATTGCAATGATATCCAACATGAATTAACATAAGATGCACAAATTTAGGATCCAGCACACTTACATTAATCAAACCACAACTTTCAAGAAAGCGCCTGTACTCTAATCTTTTCTGATGTTGCTCCTCTTGAGCTTTTTCTCTTCCCTGAACTTAGAAACCATGATGAGCACAGAAGAACATGCATATTGAAAAGAAAAAAAAAAAACAGCAGTTATGTTACTGCATGTTTACACAGTAATGCATCAGGTATCTTTCTCTTTTGGTAATCTTTTAGGATAAAGGAACAGTAATACCAACTCAATAAGCAGACAAAGCGAGGAACAACATTATTTGAGGCTATGAGCTTTGCACAATTTCATGAGCGCATACAGCAGCAGAAGCATATGAACTTACTTTCTTCTTAAGATCAACCAAGTAGTTTTGAAAAAGATCTTCGCGGTCAGCAGGTCGTTCTACAGCCTTATAACGCTTATCATCTTCGACCAATGCTATAGCTTTGCTGATTTACAGGAAAATACAAGGCAATACCTTTAATACTGAACCGAAAATATATACCAAAATCATCACTGACATCAAAATGTCATCACAAGAAGAAATATACCTCCATCTCATAGATGATGTTAATTCCTTGCACTCCTGAAAGGGAATTGAGAAGAAACAAATGGACAGATGTCAGTCAGATAAGGTATATATATATGTGTGTGTGAGTGTGTGTGTGTGAGAGAGAGAGAGAGAACAGGATTAGATTATTACTATGTTAAGATAATGCAGAAACTGCTTGCTAAAGATGATTCTTGATCTCATAATCTATAGAACCAACCCCAAAAATGATATCAAGATAAGGCAGGACATCTTAGTATGCTAAGCTAATGCAAAGATTGCTTGCCTAAGAAGATTTCTTTGCCGATTCCTCCTGTTGCTTAACCAACCAATTGTTTCATCAATGTTTGCATATCCTCCTTCATCGATCCGAAACTCATCTCCAAATCATCCACTCGAGAAGCCACACTCCTCGTCACCATCTCACGGTGTTACAGCTCTGATACCAATTTGGTATAAAAGCTTACTAATCGAATGCTTTTAGAACTCTCCTGACATTCGAGAGGTCATAAAACTCTCCCATGACCCCCTGCCCAAAGTTACAAAACAGAATACCTCCTCTCTGATGCCCAAAACAACATATAAACTCCCCCTCAGACCAACTAGACAGTGTTCAACTACAAATATGCACTTATTCTCGGTATTTATTCTACCCCTTTTATTCTACTCAGCGAATACCCGTATTACTTACCCCTCCTAGCATAAGCAAACCGGATTGGAGGTTTACCAGAATCCAACCAAAAACAGCTTGGCCCATTAACAAAGTTAACACTTCGATTAGTGCACAAATAACGACCAAGAGATAAAATACTGTTGGAACAATTGTCATGCTATATCACTTGTTCATTGGAAAGGTTAATTAGTGCATTTTCGTAATTAGACCAACAAATAAGGCTGTGTACAAGCACACATTAGAAGCAGCTATTGAAACATTGAAGCATCAATGACATAACTGCCAGCAACGACAAATGGAACCGCCCCTTCTCACCAAAGTGAAAGAAGCATAATAGCAATTAGCAAACTGACATGCAAAAAATTTAAGATCAAAATTGTTCAGAAGAAAGAGAAAATTAAAAACTAGAGCATTACAAGTCACATGCTAGAAATAACATACCTCTAACATCTTCATGAATTCATCTTTTGCTTTTTTCTGTCTCAGGCGACTCTCCTCCACGTCCAATTTCTTTTTTTCCATCAGGAACTACAGAAACACACCATGCATAAAAATCAGAATGGTGACCTCGAACTCGTTTTGAAGATGAAACAGTAGGCAGCAAAGTGAAGAACGATAGCATGAATGTAAGGGTTACCTCATTAAATGCCCGTTTCCGTTCCCCAAGTGTTTTTAACACGCCATATCTCTTATCATTTATGATCACTCTCATTGCCTGGCATATCAATTTCATGATCAATCAACAATAACTTGCAGAAACAAGCAACAGAGCAGAGACCAATTGAAGTGATACCTGTTCCCAGCTACAATCAGCTTCAAGATTTGCAGACTCCAATAAAGATTTAAAGGCAATTTTTGCTTCCTAAAAAAAAGATAAAAAATGAAAAACAAAGACAGCACAAAAACATGGAAACATTTATGGAAACTGTACCATGTCTACCTGTTTGCTTGCATATAACACGGGCTCAACATCTACAACCTCCCATTGTGCTGCGTTCACTTTCCCAGCAGCTGAAATGCCCTTCTTTGCTTCCTGCCAGTCACATCATCAATTAAGTATTTCTATTTTCTTTTTTCAAGTTAGGACAAAGAATGTCAAATGAAGGAAACCCACACACTTCAATATAAGAAGAAAAGCAGGAAACAGCAAATAGTATTGGAGAAAAGATATAGCTGTGTGCTAGCTGATAGATTAAAATGAAAAGAGAAGATAAAGAGATGGGAACCCGACTTTATGATGATTAAATGGAAACTGAATTAAATAGGAAGTAAAACGGAAACTAAACAAAGTGAATAGAAATACATGTGAAACCGCATACATAGAAAAATAAGAAGTAGAGAGATGCAAAGTTCCTTGCATGCTTGACTGTCTACTAAGGTATGAGTTCTGGGATGAAGAAAAGAATGATTGGCCATACCTTGATATCCTGAACCAGAGCTCCATCTAAAGCATTAGCAACAGCATGTGAGTATGAATTCTCCAGGTTGGTCCTACATTTTCCATTTTTCAACATTACACAAGGAAGACCCCAGAATGCTAATATCATCATTTCAAAATCAAAAGAGAAAATATACTTACTTTGGAGATGAACTTGTGTTGACCAATACATATGGAGCACCATTAACTGCCTGAGAAACTGGGGATGGAGTCTCCATACCCTCAGAAGCAATAGATGAAGAATCAATCCCCAGATTTGGGGGGTCATTACCAACAGAAGTGTTAGGCTTAACTGCCACAGGGCTTGAAGCGACCCCAGAAATCGTCAAAGATACGTCTTCAACTGAGCTTGTAGAAGCAAAAGGTTGTTCTAGTGTAGATGATGTAAAAGTGGCAGGAGCATCAGCTTGAGGCACCATCCCAGATTGAGACCCTTCAGAAGCTTCTTTCTCAGCCTGCTCTCGAGCCAACTGGGCATAGAAAACAAGAGTTAGAGCACAAAGGAAAATAGCTACCTTTTTTGTTCTTTGACAGAGTCAGAGAATAGAAAAGCAATTATTCAAAATCAAAACCTCCAATTCATCAGGTATCTTCCATTTAGATTGCTTTGTCTCCTTGTTGTAATAATATCTGCATACATATTTATCAAGTCCAAAAAACATGTATCAAGGTGGGAAAACATACCAGTTGGAAAATCTTTGAAGTTAAAGGGGACGAGTAGAACGTACTTTTTACCCTCTGCAGTTGTGAACTCTTTCCAAACAGTGGAGGCATCAACCCTCTGCAAAAGCCAAAACAACTAACATATCAGTCACCATCAAAGAAGCTCATGTAGATAGAGTAACGCATAAATTGTTCAATGACACTTCAACATCAACTTTGTGAACCTAATGGTAAGGAATTCACTGATACAAAGAGCATGGAACGATTAATAACCAAATTCTTAATAACAAATAATACATATTAGAGCTGTCTAATTCTTATGAAGCACATACTGAATTATAGGACAGGAAGTTCATGCAGCAGAAAGCATGGATGGAAAAAAACCGAAATACTCTGTACAAAACTGATACCATCATTTAAGTTGCATGAATATAAAGTTTATCTAGCCCAAAGGCATTTAGGAAGGACATCGTAAGAATTGGAAACAAAGAAGATTTCTTAAGAAGATTGGAAGCATAACAACAGAGTTGTCAACTATGGAGGAACTTAAAATCAAGTAACTGCATATCCTGTATGGTAGAACTTATAAACATAACAGAAGTTTAGATGGCAAGTCTTAGTACCTTAACTAAGGATTAAGGAACCATATTTGTTGCTGCAAACACTCGATAAGTGAAAGACCACATTTGAAGATATAAATTACATGAGTAGAGGCCCCAGCAATAGCATAAACATACTTCTCAGATAAAGTAGGTCTTAAAACATATCTGCAAAAGTGAAGGGTTCTTGGTGAAGAATAAATAAATAAAGGTGTTAACTGTTAAGTGTCACTACTAACTTCAAGTTCATAAACGTATTTCTTAAACTAAAACAATATATGTAGTTGGACTATTTAACCTAGACCATGTGATGAAAGTAGGATTCAAATATGATACCGCCAACTTAACATCTTCTATCTTCTTACTCTTTCATATCTCTTTTCTTGTGAATTCAATATTTACCTCCTAACTCTTTTGTCTTCCTTCTCTATGATGTTGCTAAACACCCTGACCTTCACTCAGGCTATCATAGGCCACACCTAGTGCCTGTCGCCCAGGCACCAATCCCCTAATCCCTATACCTCCCAAATCACCCACTTAGAACATGTACTGGTACCAACTGATCGCGTTGCCTTTCTAGGCTTCCTCCCTCCTTAACAAGTATAAGTAGCATGTCAACAGCTTGACAAAGAAAAGCAAAGATAGCTAACCTAGATGTAAGAAGCATGCACTATTACTATAGTAGTTTCAAGTACCAATATCAGCATTCAACAAGATCACATAAGCAATGCTCCTAGAAGTAATTAAAACATGAATAACAAATTGTTGCCTGCCTTGAGAAACTGAATGCACCTTCAAAGGAGAATACAGAGCAGTCGTTATTTTCCTGAAGTTGCCATGACATCTACAAACATTGAAACATGCAAAGCAAAGAAGAATAGATACAACTCAAACTTTATCAATTTTGGTATAGCAACAAGTTCAAAGTCCTTGAAAAGAAACAACACTTATGTTAATTTCATAAAAGAAAAATAATTTGAGATGCTTAGAAACTATTGAACAGAAACAGGTGTATATGGCTAACCTCCAAAGGTGTCATCAACTCCGAAGGCTTCTCCCAGGAAGTATTTTTTGTTCTCTTGTTGTAAAAATATCTGAAAAAAATATTTCAAACAGTAAGGACTTTACTTATTTGAAATGTAAACTTAACAACTGGTGTGAATGAATTAGATTCACACATAAGTCAGAAATGTGACAAAAAGAACCCTAAGGGGGTGTTTGGTTCAGGCAAAGGAATGAAAATGGGAATGAAAATGACGGGAAATGAAAATGGGAATGAATTTCCATTTCCCCCGGTTTAACCTAGAGCGAAAATTTGGCCTTCTGGGGGAATGAGCCCATTATATTATATAAAAACAAACAGCTTCTTTTATTTTCATCCCCATTGATTACCGCTTAATACCTCTAACCAAACACTCCCTTAAGAAAAGGCTAGAATTCAACTAGCATAAAGCACCAACAAAAGAACAGAGTATATCTACCGGAGACAACATGCATACACCCAAATAGCATACCTTCTTCCATCACCAGATGTATACTCTTGCCAATCAGATGATGCCTCTTGAATAACATTAGGAACACTCATCGCCTGCAACAAGAATATGAAAGAAATATTCATCTTAGAATAATAATAAAATTTAATAACAGTGAGGTGAACACACCGATACACTCTTTGTCAGAATCTTAACCATTAAGAGATGTCTTACTTTTATAGACAAGAAAGTCCTTACTAATTTATCCAATTTCAACCTTTCCCAACTCTAAACAAAAAACAATTTGTTTGTTCTCTCTAATAAATAATATAATGGAACTGCTGTTAAATAAGAAACCTTAATAACGTCAATGCTCGCACCCACATGACATGATTAAAGTAAGAAATGCAAAGACGTAAGCATTTTGTACCGAAGGAGTCTTAGAAACATCAGTAAAGGAACATCCAACTTTCAGGTGTGAATAACATTGTCAACTCCTTGGTAGCTCACTCATGTCTGTTTTTCATTTGGTTAGCTCATAATGATCTCATTCCAACAGCAATCAGATAATTTTTTCCCTCTGATGGCAGTGCCATTATTGAATAGTAGAGGCCAAGTTATGCTCCTATGACCAATGTCACACATTGGTATCTGAACCCTGGTCATTGTCATATAAGGCCTAGCCGTTGCTCCAGCTGGTTTATGGTGCTTTTTGATTGTTAAGTATGCAGGTAATAGTTTCTTCCAGTTCTCTAATCCCACTTTCCCATCTTTTGAGACAAAGCTTGGATTAAATGGGACTTCCATTTGAGTCCAGCTCCGATTTATCATTCTTTTGCTCATATCTTCAACTATTGTTGAAGTTGATTCTTCATTTTCTTTGCCAAAAAATAGATGATGCATCATGCATAGCTTTTAATGAATATGGAAAAACCAGAAGAGAAGCAAGGTTCCAGTTTATTATTGTAATCATAAAAGCAAAAAGTACACATAATAATAAAGTTCTAATGCATCGAGTCAAAAGGATTTATTTCTTCAACCATAAAGAAGGAACACATGAAACCACTTTGGTGAAGCCCATTCATGCTTTCCAACTCCTTTAAGAAGAAACCCACAAACATCCATGCTAACTAACATAATGTGCATAAAAGCTTGACAGATTCGTAGGGACATGCCAAGGCCCTTGCCTAAATCCCTCCCTCTTCCCTCACACCAGCAATTCCACCCATGAGCATGAGCATTTGCATTAACTTCAAAAGTGCCATCAAGAGGTTGCATGTATTAAGGGTGTAAAAGTATTAAATGCCATCAAAAAGCTGCATTTACAGTCAGAGGTCTTCTGGCTGATACCTTGCAACTGCTTGTCAACATCAAACTCTCCTAATCAGAAAGTACAAAAAGTCAACTAATGTCGAGGGAAAAAAGTGGGCCTACCGACTCTTTACCTTGAAGGACCAAATTCCTGCCTCAGCAGGGCAAGGTATCTTAACCATGATAAGCTTACCTCTCTTACATGGACATGGTTAAGGTTTAATTTAGGATCTCCACAGCGCCTTATGGCAACCCATTGGCAATTATATCATGCAGCAGCCATGCGTCATAGTATAAGGATCATGTGCCACCACATGGTACATTCGGAATGACCTTACAGATACTCAGTCAACCATCTTTATGATGGGTAAGAAAAGAACAGAAATCCACAAGAGCAATAATCCATTTCATATTAGTTGTTGATGAACTTGTACAGGCAATAAAGAACCAATAAATATATATATATATATACCTGATTTGTAAAAGCAACTGTCACATGCTGCATTCCAGTTTGTGCAACAGGTGTAACAGTTGGTGCACCTTGAGTTCCAAAAGGTAACCAATGCTGACCTCCAAAAGGGGCAACAGGTGTACGCATTTGTGAGACAGGTTGAAACTGAGGAGACGCGTTATTTTGTGCATGCCCAAATGCTGATGTGCTAAACTGAAACAAAAGTACAAGATAATAACCATATAGAGTCTGCAGGTACAAGAGAAGAAAGGATGCACAGTAAAGGGAGCTCTCACAGTAAATGAAGAAGATAAATGTACTCCAGGACCACCTAAACCAGACACATGATTGTTTGTAGTGGCAGAGCTCTGAAATTGTGGTGAACAAGATGTAGAAGTCATATTTGGCTGCATGAAAGGCATCGGCGAAGCTAGTGACGGTGTAGTATGGATGGGCCGAACAGGCCATGCAGACATTTGCTGCAACGGCTGAGAAAATTGTGGCAGCTGACTTTGACCAGGAGGCATGCCTTGTCCCAGTGGACGAAATTGTTGACTGCCTGAAGCCAACTGCATGAACGGTTGTCCTTGCTGCGCAGGAAACAAAGGCCAAAACTGCAGGAAAGTAAAATTTAATTATTGATCGATAGACATCTTTTGAAAACCCTATTAAAAGACTCGCCAAACACAGGAAAAATTAACATACTTGCATCAAAAGGTTGATCCAAAGTTTTGGGATCCCATGGATCTAGCTACAGGTGGTAGAAAGCCTAATAGGAAAGAGAGAAACAAAAAACATTCATGACACAAGCATGTGCACGCACACACGCACACACACATATACATATCAATGACTAGTGAGGGCACAAGTTATAAGATATTGCATGTTCAACTATGTTGGGTTTAAGTTTGTACTTTAAAGTTGTATTCAAACTAGTTTCTCCATTGTGATTTTGTATTGTAATTTCTTGCTATAAATAGCATTGCTTTTGTAATCTTGAGGTACACTTTCACTTTCTAATCATTGTAAGACTTTTGAAGATTCTCTCTCAATATTCTACTACTTTCAAGATTCATATTTTGCCATTTTGTGTTCTTCATCTTGTTTGAAGAATGGTTAATCAATCTGGGATTTTCAAACTACGACCACCTAAAACCAACCAAGACTCCTACAAGGCACGACTGACGACACACCCATTAAATTACTATTGAAGTGGTAAAATTTTGTACATAGTTACAAAATTAGAAATCAAATAAATGTTTGGTTTCTTAGCGAATTTGGTATGATATTTTTGCGGATCAAATGCAGGAACTAGTGAATGCCTAGATAAACTAATAAGAGAAAGCAAATAGGCTGGGAAGAAGCGCAAATTAAAACGGCCATAACTTTGGATCCAATAGGAATTAGGGTGCGTCTGGTACTGTGGATAGAACAAGACAGAACTCATTGTTCCACATTTGGTATGACAGTAAGTGGAACAGACAGGAACTAACTAGAACAAAGGTGGAACACATGTGTTCCACTCCTACCCTCTGGAACAAGATGGAACAACATCTGATGTACCAATATACCCCTAAAAAAATTAAACCTCATACGCTTCTCCTTAGAACATTCATGCCTCCCTCCTCTGGACTTCACCGCTACGAATCAACCTCTTCCTAATCCAAGATCAACTCTCTCCTACAGAAATCGAAGATCGACTTCTCTGGAGTTTGCGCCTCCCTCCTCTGGACTTTACACCATCGATCCAACCTTCTTCCTCAAGTAATCGATCTATTCTACATAATCGAGTTTCTTCTACAAATCTGTTTTCTATTTGATTTTTTGGCCTCTGTGATAATCGACTTCCCACATAAATCAATCTCTTGTTGTGATTTCTTCTACATAAATCGATTTCTTGTTCGATTTTCTTGCTGGTTCTTCTTGTGCTTGATGTAGTAATCGATTTTCTTGTACATAATTGATGTTTCTGCTACAAACTGATGTCAAAAGCTTGTAATTGAATTGATACATAACGGAATTCACTCCAATGGCATTCAAGAGGCCATGGTCTCTCCAGAGCAAAGCTCGTTTTACCACTGAATTGAAGAAAAATATAATGACCCCAAACAGAAGCTTCCCGCCCCGAAAAAGGCTCCCACTCACTAGACAAAAGGAAAACCCGAAAATATCCCTAAGGACTTGTTCAAAACTGAAATAAGGAATTACACTAATTTCCCCTCCTCCTATACGTGAACCGAACCGGAGGTACACCAATACTCCTCCCAAAGATTTCACCTTGTCCTCAAGGTGATTATTAGGAAATTGTTGTAACAAAGCTTGTAAATTCTCCCAAGAAGACTCAAATTCAGACATTCCTTTCCATTTCACCAAAACTTCCAACTGTCCCGGTTCGCCTTGAGTAATTGGGCGAATATCTAACAGATCGTCCAGCTTTGCTTGAAGAACCAAATCTTCCGTAATCTGAGTAGGAATTTCTGTTGTAGAAGCATAATTGCCAAAAGCTTGCTTTAATTGCGACACATGAAAAAAAGGATGTATCTTCACTCCCACCGGTAGCTCCAGTTTATAAGCTACTTTTCCAATCTGCTCCAAGATCTTATAGGGACCATAAAATCTGGCTAACAACTTTGGTTGATTACCCTTCACTAAAGATTTCAACCGACAAGGACGTAATTTTAAGAACACCCAATCTCCAAGTGCAAAGACAACATCTTTTCTTTTTAAGTCAGCATGTTGTTTCATCTTACATTGAGCCTTCAACAGATGCAATCTGACCTCATCCCAAATTTCATCTCTGCTCATTAACTCCTGTTCTACGGACTGCAAATTTGAGGAAGCAGATTTATAACGTATCAACGGTGGAGGATCTCTCCCATAAAGGACATGGAAAGGAGAACACTTAAGTGAGGAATGAAATGAAGTATTATAAGATAACTCAGCCCAAGACAACCATTTACTCCACTGCGTCGATTTGTCCGAAACCCAACATCTCATATACTATTCTAAGCATTTGTTCACAACTTCCGTCTGCCCGTCCGTTTGCGAGTGATACGCAGTACTAAACCTGAGTTTAGAACCTTGTAGCTTGAATATCTCTTTCCAAAACGCACTTTAGAAAATCCTATCTCTATCGAAAACTATGGTTGGGGCACTCCATGTAGCCGTATTATTTCCTTTGCAAAAGCGCAATACTATGCTCTATTCCTCCAACCGAAGTCAATCCATGTGGCATATTGAAAACCCTTCAAACTCCTGTAATAAAGATTCCAACCCCGAATTCATTTCTTCCCATTCTTCATTCTCTGTTTCACATGAGCCCAATTCGACTAAAATTCCATGACCCTCCTGTTGGATTTCCCTTCCCATGGTTTTCAGCGACACTTTAGTTCTTCCAAGTGACGAAACACCTTTAATCGCCACCGATTTTCCCCCGACCATGAATTTCATTACCTGTTGTTTCCAATTAATGTAAGTGGCTCCCAGTGTTTCCAACCACTGTATACCTAAAATCACATCACTGTTGCCTAATCGTATAGGCAAAAAATCGTCCACGATTTCTAAATTTTGGATTGACAACGATATACTACAACAAATGCCCTCTCCTTTCACCGTATTGCCCGTACCCATAGTAATCGTATACTCTTTCGTTTTCTTCACTTCTAAATTCAACTTATTAACCACCTCTTTCGAAATAAAATTGTGTGTCGCGCCGCTGTCTATGAGTACTACAACCTTCTGATCTCCAATAATTCCTTCCATTTTCATCGTATTCAGGCTAGTAATACCAACGACCGAATTCAAATGAACCTCGACTTTCTGTCCTACATCGACCACATTAGCCGAGCTCAACAATTTATCCTCTTCTGAATCAGCTTCTTCCACATCTTCCTCCTGGATCAAAATCACATTCAAATCTTTTTTCTTACATTTGTGCCCAGGTGAATACTTTTCGTCACATCGATAGCATAAACAGAGAGATCACCTCTACTGAACCTCCTGATCTGATAACCTCCTAAATTCTGACCCAGAACTTACTTTGAGACCGGAGACAAGACGAATTCGATCCGATGCTCTTAGCTTCGAATACAAAACTTGAATTCTTCTTTCCTATATACATTGACCTCTCCCTGCTTATCATTTTATTTTTTACTTCGATTTTGGAGGCAGTCTCCATCGCCTCACTTAACGAAATTGGATTCAATAAGCTTAGTTCGGCCTTAATCGAATTTTCCAATCCATTTATGAATTGGCTGAGAAATACCTCTTCCGGTATCCCATCCAGAGGAGCAGCAAATTCCACAAACTTTCTTCTATAATCATCGATCGATCCTTCCTGTTTCACCGCCAAAAACTGTTCACATAACGATCCCAAAGCTAGCGATCTGAATTGACGAAGAATTAATCGTTTCAAATCTTCCCAACGTGTAATAGGATGACGCTTGTTCTCCCATTGAAACCATTTCAGCACATCACCTTCAAACACTATAAATGGAACGTCAATTTGTTCTTCAGGACTTAATCGATTTAACCAGAAATACCTTTCGGCTCTCAGGATCCATCCATCCAGAACGTTGGAATTTCTAACCTCCTCCCTTTTACTACC